TTTTCCCAGGGGGGGTGGGAGGAACCCGCGGGGGGGGGGGGGGGGGCTTGGTGCAGACGGAGCTCACTGGGCCCCAGCGGCCCGGAGGGCAGTGGCCGCTCGCTCTGCCCGCAGCTCTCCACGCGCAGCACCATGGCCAGCCCGGGTCGCGAGGGCGAGCACCCATCCGTGACGCTCTTCCGTCAGTACCTGCGCATCCGCACGGTGCAGCCCGAGCCCGACTACGGTGAGAACGCGGCGGTTCCCGGGCCTGGAGGGGGCGGGGACGACATCGGAGGCGGGGACGGTGCTTTCAACCAGGCCCCAGCTCCTGTCACCCAGCTGAGCCCCCTCTGCTCCCCCAAAGGGCGCCTCGCCCCTCCAGCCATTCCCTGGGTCCACCCACCCGCGGGCGGTGCAGGGACCTTCCCTGCAGAGGCCCTGCTCCTCCTAAGTTCCGCCCAGCGGCTGGTCAAGGAACAAGTTCCCCTCCCTCCCGGGCCGGGGTCGGGGAGGGGAGGCTGGGCAGCCACTTGGAAGTCTCTCGAAGTCCACTGGGCTGGACAAAGGCCACAGCCCTTCGGAGTCGAGCTTGGTGGCTGGGAACTGTGCATGGTCCAAATTCCTGCTGTGGTTTTCCACCTGGGAGGTGCTGGGTGACTCTCCTGTCCCTGCACATAGCGTCCCCATCTCTAAGGAAGACACTGACTTCCCACCTGACCGTCCACAAAGGGTCACTGATTGGCCGAAAACAACTTCCTCCTGGGGGCAGAAATGCAGGTGTCTCTAGATGCAGGTGTCTCTGAGATGCAGGTGTCTCTAGATGCAGGTGTCTCAGACGTGGCATGTGTTGAGGAGGCAGCAGCGCATTTGGGTCTGCTCCCCTCTCTGGATGTGCCTCCAAGCCCTGCCTGGGCCAGGGGTCAGGGGAGAGCCTGGGAAACAGAGCAGCCCTAAGACTCTGTGTCCGCAGGGGCTGCCGTGGCCTTCCTTGAGGAGAGAGCCCGCCAGCTGGGCCTGGGCTGTCAGAAAGTGGAGGTGAGCCTGGGCCCTGTGTGGTGAGCAGAAGTGGGCCTGCACCTCCGCCTGCACTGAGCTTCCCTCCTGGTCCTCCCCAGGTGGCACCCGGCCGTGTGGTGACCGTGCTGACCTGGCCAGGCACCAACCCCAAACTCTCCTCCCTCTTGCTCAACTCCCACACGGACGTGGTACCTGTCTCCAAGGTGAGTGGGGGAGGATGGGGAGTCAGATGAGCAGGAAGCCCCGGTGCTGCTCCTGGCACCGACTCTGACCTCACTGGGCATCACGCCACCTGAGCAGCCTCTGTCCGGCAGCTGTTCCATACGCAGGGTGGGGGTGGGGGTGGGTCGCAGAGCTGGGGGGGGGGCAGTCTGCTGCCCTCGTCAGCCCTCTTCTGTCACCTTCGCCACCCCGCCTGTCACCCTTCCGGTGGGCTCTGAGGGCAGGCCCACAGCGGGCAGAGTGGATTAATGACTGAACTTGGGCCTTGGGGCCTCTTCCCATCCCTGCCCCAGGAATACTGGAGTCATGACCCCTTTGAGGCCTTCAAGGATGCTGAAGGCTACATCTACGCCAGGGGTGCCCAGGACATGAAGTGTGTCGGCATCCAGTGAGTGTCCTTATTCCCAGTTCCCCACTGTCCCCTGGAGTGTCCCAGAACCTGGGGTGGGACTGGAGAACCTCAAGGCTGAGGAACACCTTGGCCCCTGGCATTGGGCAGAATTGCTGCTGTAACCATTGCATGGACGGGGAGACAGGGGCAGGGACAGGCTGTGGCGAGCAGGGCCAAGGGCCTGGGGCTCCAGCCTGCCCCCCGGAGCATCCGGTGGCTCCCTCGGCACCTGGCTCCCACCCTCTTTCCGCCCCTCAGGTACCTGGAGGCTGTGAGGAGGCTGAAGGCTGAGGGCCACCATTTCCCCAGAACCATCCACATGACCTTTGTGCCAGGTGGGCGTGGCCGGGCAGGGCTCCTTCAGGGAGGGGGAGGGTGTGTTGGGGAATGGCTCCCTCATCTCCCATCCCTGCCGCTTTTACAGATGAGGAGATTGGGGGTCACAAAGGCATGGAGCTGTTTGTGCAGCGGCCTGAGTTCAAGGCCCTGAGGGCTGGCTTCGCCCTGGATGAGGGTGAGCAGGTGGCAGGCCACCGAGTGGCCAGAGGGGATAGGGAGGCTGCTAGGGGGGGCTGGGCCACCCTGCCCTCTGAACCCCCTTTCCTCCCTCCTTAGGCCTGGCCAACCCCACTGATGCCTTCACTGTCTTCTACAGCGAGCGCAGCCCCTGGTGTGAGTGTGGCTTAGAGGGGGGGGTCACTGTGCGGATGGGAGACTAGGCCAGAAGGGGCGGGGCCTGGAGCCCAGGGCCTGTGCCTCCCGGCCCCTCTGGCCTGGGCTTCCTCCCGATCTGAGGGCAGAAAGCAGCCCTGCACTGTGTGTTCTGGGGGACAGTCCCGAACGCCTAAGAGACGGGAGAGGAGCTTGGAATGAGGGGCAGGCCTGGCCCACCCGGCTGAGTGCACCCAGCCTCTCCCGTGCTGAAGGCGCCCCTTCCCCTGCATCCCCCAGGGGTGCGGGTCACGAGCACCGGGAAGCCCGGCCACGGCTCGCGGTTCATCGAGGACACAGCCGCAGAGAAGCTGGTGGGTGGCGCCCAGGGGTGGGATTGGGGATGTCCCGGGGCTCTGTCCTGGGGCCTCTCACATCTACCCTCCTCCACTCCCAGCACAAGGTCGTGGGCTCCGTGCTGGCGTTCCGGGAGAAGGAGAGGCAGAGGTGAGACGGCTGGGAGGCCGGGCGGGGCAGGAGCCTGTGCTGGACGGGAGGCTGAGCCTGGTTCTCATCCGTGTCCCCACCGCAGGCTGCAGGCAAACCCCCACCTGAAGCTGGGCGCCGTGACCTCTGTGAACCTGACGAAGCTGGAGGGCGGCATGGCCTATAACGTGGTCCCGGCCACCATGAGCGCCAGCTTTGACTTCCGCGTGGCCCCGGATGTGGACCTGAAGGTGCCACCTCCACCGGGTTTGGAGGAGGGAGCCGGGTCCTCAGCCCTGTCCTACAGGCTCAGGAGAGCCCGAGGGGTCAGCTCCTCTCCCGTCTCCTAGGCGTTCGAGGAACAGCTGCGGGGCTGGTGCCAGGCAGCTGGCCAGGGGGTCACCTTCGAGTTTGTCCAGGTACCGGCCCAATGACGGGGAGTTGTGGGGGCTGGGGGCTGGGCCTGCCTGGTGGTGTCCCTGTAGGAGTGTGTGCTGGGTGCCCTGGGGAGTCACATGACCCGTTTAGTCCTTAGTTCTTATTCTTACAGCGTGAATCAAGTATTTAGAACAGCGGTTCTCAACCTGTGGGTCGCGACCCCTTTGGCGGTCGAACAACCCTTTCACAGGGGTCGCCTAAGACCATCCTGCATCTCAGATATTTACATGACGATTCATAACAGTAGCAACATTACAGTTATGAAGTACCAATGAAAGTAATTTTATGGTTGGGTCACAACATGAGGAACTGTATTTAAAGGGCCAGAAGGTTGAGAACCACTGACTTAGAAGATAATAGATAATACTTTTATCTGAGTATAAACATGGTCCAGGAGAGGGGGGAGCTCATCCTCTGGGAGAGCCGTCTGGAGGGAGGGACGCTGGGCTGGGACCTGAAGGATGGACAGGAAGTAAGCTGGTGGAGGGCAGCCGAGGGTCCTTTGAGGAACTGAAGGAGCTGGTGGCCGGGCTGGCCAGCTGGCTGTGTGTGCGCGCGCATATGCGCATCCTGTGCTGGGCACATACCCACCCTATGAAAATAGGGCAAGATGCCCAGGCCTTGTCCTGATCCTGCCACCCTTCTCCCCCCAGAAGTGGACGGAGCCCCGAGTGACATCTACTGATGCCTCAGACCCCTGGTGGGCAGCATTTAGCGGGGTCTGCAAGGACATGTGAGCGCACTGGCCCCCCCTCTCCCCTTCCCGCTCTCCTCCCGCTTTCTGTGCCCCTTCAGTCCTGGCCTCGCCCTCTTCCCTGCCCGCCCCACTCACCAGGCTCTGCCCCTGCAGGAGCCTCACGCTGGAGCAGGAGATCTTCCCCGCTGCCACCGACAGCCGCTACCTCCGCGCGGTGAGCTGCTCGCAGGCAGGTGGGCAGTGGGTGGTGCTGGGTGCTGGCCTCCCCCTGATGGCTCCTCCTTGCCCTGCAGGTGGGGGTCCCGGCTCTGGGCTTCTCCCCCATGAACCGCACGCCCGTGCTGCTGCACGACCATGATGAGCGGCTGCACGAGGCCGTGTTCCTCCGTGGGATTGACATATACACACGGCTGCTACCTGCACTGGCCAGCGTGCCCGCCCTGCCCAGCGACAGCTGAGCCCACGCTCCCAGCCTCTGCCCCTGGAGCTTCCACCTGGCCCGTGCCCAGGCCCCTCTCCCCTGCCCCACAATAAAGTCTGTGTGTGGCCAGGGCCGCTGAGACACTGGCAGCAGCATGTTTGTAGAGCAGGGGTGTGTGGTTACCATCCCGCTGACGGGAAAACTGCCTGGCTCTGGGCACCGCCCACCACCCCAGGCTGCGTGTCCTTCACAGCACAGCCACCTGACCCCCAGCCCTGTGGCCGGGTTCTCAACGGCCACCGTATCTACGTCTATGAGGTCGGGAATATCACTCCCACTGAGGGGGACAACAGAGATCTCAGGGCATTACTCCTGGCTCTCCGGGAGCACACGCCGGATCCAGCGCTGGAGGCTGGCAGGGCCCCTGCCAGACGTGGGCAGGTGGGCGTAGCTGGCAAGGCAAGGCTGCCAGCACGGTCACCCTCAGGTGGGCAGGAAGCAGGTGTGGCCCTCCTCTGGTTTGGGGAGCACAGGTCTGTTCATCTTAGGGTCCCAGCACTCTGGGCAGGGGTCACAGAGGGGCCCACAGTCGGCTTCTGTCGGCCAGCCCCGCTCGGCCCCAGGCGGTGCCAGGGGTGAGCCTGTGAGCTGAGCCACCCGCTCATGGCCCTGGTCTAGTCCTGTTCTGACCTCCCTGAGCGTGGGCAGGGGTAGCTGGGAGGGCTGGCTTCTGAAGCTCCTAGTTGTGGCCAGAAGGGAAGCCCAGGGCCTGCAGGCTCAGTCCTGATAGTAATAGTAGCCCCTGCTCACGGGTCCTGACAAGGAGCCAGGACACTGGCCAGCTTCTCGCCTTCCCAGGGTCCCCAGCAGCCCTGACGCAGGTCCGAGCCACTTTAGAGTCTGCTGGCAGCTGACCACGACCACACAGCCTGAGGCAAGGGAGTCAGGTCTGAGACTAAGAACCGGGGACTCGTGCTTCCTACACTCTGGAGGCCGAGGCAGCAGCTGGCTGCAGCCTGAGGAAGCCTGGCTGAGGCCCTGACCTGGGGTCTCGTGAGATTGGGGTCCGCCTCCCCGTTTCAGACTGGACAGGATCACACCCTGTCCCAGGGACATGAGCACAGGCCTCACTTTGGCAGCCGTCCAACCTCAGGCTGGGCCAAACCACCTTCAGGACACAAAACCTGGGCCCCGTCAAGCTCCCAGCCGACACCAGCCGGTGGGGCAGTGCCTGCCAGGATGACAGGCGAGACTTAGCAGCCCAGCTCTGGTTGGCAAACTAACACTTCCTAGGCCCCGCGTGACCTGCTGGGCTCCGAGGCTACGTCCATCCCTCTAGCGCCTTGACCGTGAAACAGACGGCAGCGATGCCCCCTTCGGAGGTAAGGGACCGCATTCCCTGGGCGGCACCTCTTGCCCAGATAATAGCACCCGTTTTGAGCCTCCCAAGTGCCCAAGGTTGGACCATACTCCGCACGACCACTACTCAAGGCTGGTTCGAGGACTAACAGTAACTTACATCTGCGGTGCATCGTGGGCGGCGGCACCGTGAGGGCTCTCTGTGCAGCGGGGAGGCGGGGTTCTGCAGCGCATGCTGGGCCCAGGCTGACCTGCTCCAGATGAGGGGCCCATGCCTTCCATCCAGGGCAGGCCAGGGCCCGCTCCAGAACCAGAACACAGTGGGGCAGGGGGAGGGGTCAGTCTGGGGGACGACAGGAAGCCACCTCCATCCTGCCTGGACCGAGCCTGCAGGTGGGGCAGCGGTCCCCACACTCCTCCCCAGGACTGGCTCTTAGTCTCACATGGCCCCTCCCCCTCAGGTGCCCTTCACCTGCCAGGGGCTGCAGCAGCAGGGAGGTAGCTCGTTTGGTTACCACTGACCGCACTGGAGACCGTCCACAGCGACAGTACAGACACACGCAAGGAAAAGGCCGATTAAAAGCAACCCAAGTGTTAGAAACCATTGTTTCCGCCACGTTCCCTAGGACCCTAACGAGTGCGCTAATCGGTCACTTGGCCTTGGGCTGGATCACTGCGGGCGTTGGAGAGTTCATACGTGTTTACAAAGAAGGGACACTAGCAGGTGCATTGGGTATAACGGCTGTGGGTTGGGATGATGGCAGAGGTGCCTCCCTGTAATGACGCCACAGCAACAGCGGAAGTCTGTGGTCAGAAAGACAGATGTCTACAGCAGCGGTTCTCAACCTGTGGGTCGCAACCCCTTTGGGGGTCGAACGACCCTTTCACAGGGGTCGCCTAAGAACATCGGAAAACATATAATTACATATTGTTTTTGTGATTAATCGCTATGCTTTAATTATGTTCACTTTGTAACAATGAAAATACATCCTGCATATCAGATATTTACATGACGATTCATAACAGTAGCAAAATTAGTTATGAAGTAGCAACGAAAATAATTTTATGGTTGGGGGTCACCACAACATGAGGAACTGTATTAAAGGGTCGCGGCATTAGGAAGGTCGAGAACCACTGGTCTACAGGGACATGAACTGGGAGATCACAGCCTGAGGTTTGCCTGTGGATGCAGCTGCAGCCCAGGAACCCGGCCAGGCTGTGTAAACCGTGTTGGCTGGAGGGGATGCTTTGTTGTGAGGTCAATAGCAGGGGACGTGCCAACCCGGGACCCTTCCTCCCCCTCAATGGTGCATGTACCAGTCCCCATGGGCCCCACTGGGGACAGCCATTCCTCCCCACCAGGGGCATGAAGTAACTGCCCCACTGCAGATGCCAGTAAATGGTCCCAGGTCCAGGGGCACAGGCTTGGTGCCTCATCAATCCTCTCAGAACGGCCCAGCGGTCAGTGCGCAGCGTCAGACCAAGGTTCATGCGTGACCAACCAGACGGTTTCCTCGGCCTGTTGGCTGCTGTGATGCGTGCGTTCCCACCCAGGGTACCACAGACGGTGGAATGCCAACTGCCATCAGGTGGGCAACTACCCAGCTAGAGCCATCCGTGTACCAGGCTCGGCGAACTTCCTGCTCCTTCTTTGCAGAGGCAGGGGCGGGAACATTCTGAGATTGGGCCTCGTAGATGCTATGGGTGGGGAGGCCATTTAGTGGGCACAGGTGACCGAGCCGTGGCAGGGCCAGCCAGTGGCACGTGTGGTCGACCCACCCCTTGATGGCAAGTTCTTCCTCTGGCTGCTCTATCTGATCTCTGCCCCCTTCATAGCTGGGACCAAAATCCCAGGGGCACTGCAGTTTAACAGGTACCTGCTCTCAAAGGCAGCCTGTGGCCCCGCTCCCGTCCCCATCCCCTCAGCTAAGCCAGGTGAGGGGTGAAGGCACTGTGCCAAATGGTTTAAAAGCTCGCTGACACCCCGGGACCCCCACAAAAAGCCTGTGCCTCTACGTTTCTGGTCTAGGGCAGGTGTGTACTTTTTCTGACAGCCTCAGGGACAACAGGCCTCACTCGGACTCTGGACCCCCAAGCTTCTACAGCAGCGCCCGGACCTTTTCTCCTTAGCAGCGCCCCCTGCCACAGCACCAGTGCCAACCAGGCAGCGACTCTATTTCTGGGGACCAACTAATGGGGGTCCCACAAGAGGCCTCTGATCGCCCCCAATAGCCTTCACTTAAGGACTGTACTCGGCCCCCGATGGCTTCTCCTGCTCCAAGTGTCGCTGGGGTAGCTGAAGGTGCGGGTGAAGCTGCTGTTCAGGCCTTCAAGCCTCCCATGACCCTAACACTACTTCAGGCTGAAGACCAGCCTCTTCTCCGGGGAGGGGAGGGCGGCGGATGGGCGACCAGTTAGCCTCCCTTCCTACTGCCTTCACTCTCCCAAGTTCCAGGCTTCCCGCAGCTCAGACATGGATGGAGACCCGCATGTCTTGTCCCCTACGGGGCTCAGTGTGGAGACACTGCACTAGGGGCTCTATGTAGATTCTGCTTCCACTCCTGCTGTGAAAGCGGCCTAGTCAGGTCCCTCCCACACTGGGCACAGACTGCCCCGTGCATGCCCAGCTTTTCAAGAATGTGCTGTATTTCTTGACTTCCAGGGCCACACTTGCCAGGCCTCCCTGCAGGTCAGAAAGAGCCCATCTGGATGTGACCAAGCAGCAGCCATATCACGGAAGTCTCTACTCCACACCCAGGGCCCCAAGCACCGGGGAAGCAGCACCACCCAGCGCAGTGGATGCTGGTACAGGAGTAACAGCCAGTCTGGAACACCAGGCCGGAGCGCAGGATCCTTCCGCTCCCTCCCGTCTCCTTCCTGTGCAAACATCCAGACCTAACAAGGAGGCCTGGGATTTCTCTCCTCACTAGCCTGCTCCAACCAGCCCTCACGGTCTAGGTCCCTTCCTGTATTCCAGGGAACAACTTCTCCACACCCAACCAGCCAGAGAAGGCGGACTCTTCTCCCACAGAAAACGGAGGTACCAAGCCCACCGAAAGCTAGGCCCAGCCCTGGGATCAGACACGGGCTGACAGACAGATCCTGCCGCAGGTTTATTTGTACAAACAGCACAGGAGGACACCAGCGCCACACAGACAGCAGCCCAGGGGGCCCACTAGTCCTTCTGTCCTCACATCGGCAGACGGAGGCCTCTACTGTGGAGCCTTCGTTGGGGGCTGGGCACCTTTGGGAGCGGGAGCCTGAGCCCCTTTGGGAGCCTGAGCCGCAGCCGCACCCGCAGCCTGGGGCTTGGTTTCCGCCTTGGCCTTGGCCTTTGGCCGGCAGGGCCTGAGCCCTTTGGCAATGCGGGCACGAGCACGTTTCCCAAGCTTGGGGTGAGCGATGTAGGCAAGTCGACTGAGTTTGCGGCTGCAGCCCTTTGGGATATTGGGCCTGGGCTCCTTGGGCTTGACCAGGGCCTTGATGGCCTCAGCACGTGCGCTTATGGCCTTGGCGTTGTTGGCCTGCATCTTCTTCAGGCCCTTCTTGTTGTGCTTCTTGGCAAAGCGCATGTTCCTGAGGAACTTGGGGTCTACCTGGAAGGCAGGAAAGGTACAGGCACCTGTGAGTGCAGCATGGGAGGGGGAGGGGGGCAGCGCTGGTGCCCTCTCCATAGCAGCACCCAGAAACTACCGGGCTCAGCTGAGGCCTATTGGAGGCTTGGACAGCATCAAACCCAACCCTGGAAGCTTATCTGCAGAGAAACTCCAGATGTAGCACCACCCGAAGCCAACCACCCACCTGCTGAT